GGCGCGAAGGCGGCGGTGCGCCATTTCGAGCGAAATGGGGTAACTGGCAAAAGTGAACAAAGGAAAAAAATGAATAATCCGCCAATTACTTTAACTTCGACAGTACTATTATTTGTATATGCCGAACGATTATGCCGTTTTCAGCGCAACATATTTTGGCGATACTCTTTGGTGGTATAAACTCACGGTGATCAATGTTTTAGGGGGAAGAATGAAGGGTTGATGGAAAAAAATGTGGATTAAAGGGTGGGAAAGAATCGAAAATAAACAAACGAACAAAATAAAAAAAGCAGAAGTTTCTATACTTTTTACGGAGATTGTTATAGATTAAGCGCACACTGATCAAGGCATTCGTCGCTCGGCAAAGCATAATATAATTATTAATATAAAATTTATAACAGAAATAAAATAAATGAAGTTAATAAATATGTACACTGTATAATAAACATTATTTCCTATTAATAAACGAAAGCCTCTTTTATTTACCATTCAACATATCCCTTCGAAATATATTATCCGTTTAAAAAATAATAAAGTCATGTTTATAAAATTATTTTAGTATTTTTTTTTACTTTGATAAAACAATTTTTTAAAATTAATTTATTATATTTTTCAATAAAATCATTATAAACGATATTTCTCCAGAAATTAATATGTTTATTTTAAAATCTGATTAAGCGCTATAAGATTAATTTTAAATCACTATAATTTTGAAGATAGTACTAATTATCGATCAATGAACGAACGACATTCACTTTGCCCTGAGTTGCTCGATCTTACCTACCAAGCAGATATTACCGATTGAGAAAAAGTCATATCAATTTTACACCTATACCCATCCAAAATAACGCGTAGAATTTAAAATTACATGTAAGTTTCGCATTTAAAAAATACGTATTCTATTTATAAATATTTAAAGTATATTTTTCACAAATCTTGATATATATTTCATCATTACTATAAATTGATGAAAAATTAATATTCTTAAAAACGAGAAATAGCATTGAAGTGACATCTTATGGAATTTTGTGCCAAATATTCTGAAACACCAACCTCAAAATACACCGGACACCATCTAGCATTCCATAATCAAAGTACGTATACAAAATTAAATCATTTAAAAAGTACGAGGTAAAGCTGCATATATATTTTAAAGATTGAAATGTTATCCATCCTTACTAAATTTTTTATCTATAAAAATATATCATAGCAAACTCATATTATTTCTTCTAAAATATATAATTATATCGTTGGTATTAGTTACATAATGATATGATTATATTGTATAAATAATAAAGAATAATTATATAATTAAATAATAAAGATTTTCTAGATGATTTTCTGCATGAAAATTACAACAAATTTTATATTTTCATTGCCATGAAAATGAAAAATAATTTATATTTAAAAAATAAAAAATAAATAAATAAAATAAACAGAATAAATATTGTATAATACATTGCAAAGAGTCCACTATTTCATCCACTTATATTTCATTTGTCTATGTAATATTAATTTATTTATTTAATTAGCACAACTTACCACAATTATACACCACACTTAATTATACACATGCACTAAATTATAAAAACAACTTATATCACATTAAATTATAAACACATTTCAATCACTTATCGTCCATCTTCTAATATCATAAAATATAGAATTTTTTGCTTCAAGTACAAAATATCTTGAAAATATTTTAAATTTATTATTCTTTCATCAAAAAATCTTAAATTTTTATATATAAATATTTAATATTATTTTCAAACTATTTACCAAAAATCTAATTATAAATATAAAATAAAATAATATCTTTTCATTGCGTTGAAAGTTGAATGATGAACCTGAAATAAACTATAAAAAAGAAACAATAAAATTCTGTAACAGATAATTAGATTACAATAAATAATTAATTTCTTTTTCCATATTTTTTATTTACCTTAACGATTAGTATCTGCAACAAATATAATTTTTGAATTAGAAATTAAACTATAACAAAAAAAAACATTATTACCTAAAAAAAAATTATTACACTCTTATGTAATTCATAACTTTTTTATAATCAGAATTATAGTGAAAAAAAATTCCTACATTGCAATTAAGATAATAATCTTAAATTAAGAATTTGATTTAAATTTGATTGAAAATCTTAAATTTAAACATTGACTTAAACCTTTCACCATAAAAATAATTTTGTATAATACCACAACAATTAAAACAAATTCAATAATGACAAAAGAATATATCAAAAATATTTTCTATAACAAATGCTTTGTTAATACACAGGAGCTGAAAAAAAATAAAAAATAGCCAAAAGGGCCACTTAAAATCTCCCACTCAATGCAAACATGCCCCGAACAAACCGTGAGTGGAATATTTTATTTCGCAACACTAATATAATAAATATTCAAAGGAAAACGCGAAGAGTGCCTTGTATGAACGATAATTAAAATATATATAATTAAAAAAAAAGGAAATAAAAAAAGAAAGGAAAAAA